ACATCATGTATGGTTTGTTCACTTCTCTCCGTCTCTAGGAAGCTTTAGGCGCTGGAACCTGACTTGTCCTCCCCACTGTATCCCAGGCACCTCAAATAAGGCTTGGAGCGCAGCGGGCGCTTGTTGCTGGAGGACTCCCTGGGTTGGGGAGGGGTGGGTGTAGTCCTGGTTCTAGGCGAAGCCTGAGATGGAGCCCGAGTGGCACGGGGCCCTTTTACATGTATGGTCCCATGATGCCATGTTTCCTTGGGCCGCAGCTGCTTGACTTCCGGCCGCCATGTGCTCTCTCCAGGCTGGGTGTAAGTGCCCAGCTGGCACTTGGAGGTTGTTTGTACGTGGAAAACCAGCGGAAAACTCCAGTACTTAGCGTACTGCTCTTCAGCCACGTTATGGGTCAGATCGGCTTTTAAGCTGTTAAGGGACTTTTAACTCCCTAATTTGTGGCCTTCTGGCTTTGGAAAAATGTGCTTCATGCTTCCAAATAACTCACTGGGCAGTGCATTTTTAGAAGCCGGTGATTTCTGAGTTGGGTACTGGATGTGAATGCACTTGAACCGTGAAGTAGATCAGAAGGCGCCACAGACTCCTGAGGTGAGGTCTGGAGTTTACCCTCTGACAAATTGTTAGTCTTGCTTTCTCGGCAAAACACTCCCATCTTCTCTCACGGGGAACTTGAGCACTCACTTTCTCTTCTTCCTTGCCCTTCCCATGCCACGTTCCTTTCTGAGGCTGGGAGGATAGGAATCCCATAGAACCCATGCCCCCGGTGTCTCTTCTCCTGACAGCTGAGTTGTAGAAGGCTGTCACTCGGGTGCTTTCTGAACCCCCCAGCTCGTCACCCATGCCCCTTGTTAGGTCTCCAATCTCTCTGCTGCACAGGGCTCGGACCCCTTTAATCCATTCAGTAAACCCTGAGAGTGGCTTCCCCAAGAGCAGAGAGACTGCCTTTTCCCTTTAATATAGCTTATGGGACCTGCGGCCTAAGGGAAGGGAGGCTGAACCCCAGCTCTTAGTTCCTCGGGAAGGCACTCTTGCAGGTTTGTGGGCGAGTAGTCATTTCAGGGTGCACTTTCGGTAGAGGCCGAGAAGAAGCGGGAGGCCAAGCAGCGGGCTAAGGAGGCTCAGGAGCGGGAGCTGCGGAAGCGGGAGAAGGCGGAAGAGAAGGAGCGCCGGAGGAAGGAGTACGACGCCCTCAAGGCAGCCAAGCGGGAGCAGGAGAAGAAGCCCAAGAAGGAGACAAATCAGGCCCCGAGTACGTGTTCACAGGCACAGGGCTCCTGCTGGGGTGCAGTGGGGGCAGAGGAGTGAGCGTGCGAGGCAGCCCCCGTGGTCAGATCGAGCAGACTCTGAGGCTCGGGGGAAGCTTGGAGGGTTTGGTGGCTGGGTGTGGGGGGCCATCCTGGGGAGCAGGTGCTCTGCTGCTGTGTTGCCCCAGGGTGTTTGGTCAGAAGTGGCTGAGAGCCTTTCCCCGAACAGGGAGCTGCCCTTCCTGTCAGGGTTAGATGCTAGAATCACGACAAGGCGAGGACAGTGCCCTTCAAAGCCCCCCACGTCGTCTGTAACTCTCTGACATGCGCGTGGCATCTTGAGTGCCAGTACCGTCCCGGGGAGGCTGGCACTGCCTCTGCTTCTCTCTCTAGGTTGGAGCAGAGCGCTCGCTCTCTTTCTGCTTGAACACCAGCGGAATCCTTTGGCTGTGTTCAGGGAGCCGTGTGGTATAAAAAGCACGCTAGCGTTTTGCCTGAATGTGTCCAGTTGAGTTGGTGAGGTGATACAGCTGTGTGCAGCAGGGGGTCGCATATCCTCTGGGTCAGCGGGGGCCCCCAACGGAGAGGCAGCTGAGGGCGGAAGGAGCCCCGTTGGGTGGGCCGAGGCCCAGGGCACTGCTGCTTGCCCTCGCCGGCCTTGAGGGCCTTGAGCACGTTGCCTAGCCACTTTTTTGTTTCCCTGTGTAAAACGAGGATCGGACCTCCTTAAAGGGCAGCCTTAAGTGAGAAAATCTATGTGACAGGATCATGCAGTTCTTGGCATGTGGGTACTCCGTCAAGATTTTTAAAGTTTGGTTTAAAACAATCTCAAAACCAATTTAAAAAAAATTAGAGATGTAAGATATATATATATGTTCATCCCAGAGAACTAAAAAAGTTCCATATATGTCTCAGAAAATGGCAATCACCTGTAATCCCCCACACCCAGCTGCAGTCACTGTTGACAGGGTGCTAGCTCACCGTCCTGGGTTGTTTTTAAGATTATTTGAGAGAGCAAGTGAGCAAGCGTGCCCACAAGCGGCAGGGGCAGAGGGAGAGAGAGAGACTCAAGCAGACTCTGCCCTGAGGGCGCAGCCCGATGCGAGGCTCGATCCCATGACCCTGAGATCGTGACCGGAGCAGAAACCAAGAGTCGGCTGCTTAACTGATGTGTGCCACCCTGGTGCCCCTGGGCTTTCTTTTTATGTGCCTCCTCTTCTAGAATAAGGACACGAGCAACAATAACAGATCTCTGGCCCGTTTCCCCAGATGGGCAGCACGCTACCCGTGCTCAGTACCCCCTGAAAAGCCTGTCCCCTGACCCCAAAGGTCGCCCCAGGGACCGCGAGCTGCGTGAGGCACCCGGGATGAGTTCTCGTTCCAAGCAAGCTCCCTGGAGAGCCACTGGGGGAGGACTTCTCCTCAGTCTCCATGTCCGCAGAGTGTAGGAGAACTCAGATGTTCCCGAAAGTTTCTCTTCGGGGCCTGGGAGTCTTCATTGCAGAAGAGTGGGGAGCGGGTCCACGCGGGGAGACGAGCGTCGCTGGGTAGAATGCGCGTCTCCTCAGACTGATGGAACTTTCTATCTGCGGTGCCTCTGTCCCTGCAGAGTCCAAGTCTGGCTCTCGGCCCCGCAAGCCACCTCCCCGGAGACATGGCAGGGCCTGGGCCGTGCTGAAGCTGCTGCTGCTGCTGCTGCTGTGTGCGGCCGGCGGGCTGGTGGCCTGTCGTGTGACCGAGCTGCGGCGGCAGCCCCTCTGCGCCAGCGTGAACACCATCTACGACAACGCGCTCCGCGGGCTGCGCGGCCACGACATCCTGCAGTGGGTGCTGCAGACCGAGTCTCAGCAGTGAGCTTGTCCTCGACACCTGCTGCCTCCCAGCCTTGGAGCTTGGATTCCTATGGAATTGGGTTCTGCTGGACACAAACCTCTTTTTAGCGTCAGACCTACCTGCCATCATCCAATGGCTGCTGATTGGTACTTGAGATCTCCTCTCTGTAGGACTTCTTTGTTCCTTAGTCAGGGTTCCCTGGTGGAATGAGAAGTGGGAGGTGGGCACAGTTTACCTGCATGCCTAAAGGAATAGGCTTGGGGTGGGCAGAGGAAAAAAACGGCCTTTTCTAGTTGTTGTACAAAGCTGTGTAAAGGCAAGGCTCGTTTCTACTAAACGATCAGGTCAGCTGTCACTACATTTATACTTTTGTATGTCACAAACCCTTTCTTTCATTCCTCCCTGCGTAGCCAGGGCAGATCAGGAGGCAGTGCGATATTGGGGACGAAGGGAACACCGTACTCAGCAAATCTAGCCTAAATTGGGGGGTGGGGGAGGGTATACCTATTTTCTTAAGCACCTCAGACATTTTAATGACCATACAAAATCTCAGGCTGTGAAAGGGACTTCAGGACCATCCATTCCAATAGTAACACGTGCAGACAGGGAAACTGAGGCCTTCCATGACTTGCCTTCGGTCTCCCAGCTAGTTGGAGGCAGAACTAGACTCCCACTCCAGTATCCTCTCTTTCCATCACTTTGCTTCCTTAACAACGTCTGGAGAGAGAACTCACCCCGGAACCAAGCATCTCTCTGCTGGAGTGCAGACTCTCGGGACGGTAGGCAGCTTTGTGTCCCACAAATAGGATTCTCCCAGCCAGGAGGGTCTGGGGCAGCCCCTACAGCGTCCTGCCCCCGCTCCTGTGGCTTTCACAAAACGGTCCAGGCTCCTTGGCTCTGTTAGAGCATTAACTCCCTGGTTGCCAGTAAACAAGGAGGTGGACCGTCACAAAGCCATTCTGTCTGTGACAGCTGTCGGTAATCGGCGTGACAAAGTCAGAGGCAGCCCGCAGACTCAAGTTTCATAGGGCTGGAGGTTTAGCATTGTTTGGGTCTCGACCTATAACCACCTCCACAACGAAGGGAAACAAGTAGCACCATGGAGTTGGAAAGTGGCGCGTTTACAAACAGCTAGTGCAGAGAAGGGGAGGGCTGTCTGTTCTCCCGCCTGCCAGATGCAGCCTCTTCTTGCTCTGTGGCCTCCTAGCACAGAAGCCAGAGGAAGGGATAAGGTGTGGTCGTCATGGTGCTCATTCACTGAAACTCCCAACTGTAGGCTGCTTGTCTCCCCCTCAGGAGGGCAAGATCCGGTCATGATGCAGAGACAGAAGGTCGGGCCCAGCTTTCAGCCTTTGTGGCTCATCTAGATGGGACAGCCACTCCTAACTGTCCTCAGACTGGAAGAGTGACTTGTTCCTTTCTCTCCCCATCCCCAGACATTTCTGCTGCAGGGACCCATACCTTACTCAGAAATCACTACACATTCCTTAGTCTTCCTCCAAGCTCCAGAGCCATTGGTACAAATGCTTTATTGAAACAAAATACATAGTATGTGAGATGAGATGAAGAGGATGGGGAGTCAGCCCAGGGATCAGACCCCCAAGCAGGGGGGCTGGGTGAGAGGGCTGCAGGGCACACCTGGCTCCCTCCAGCCAGCCCGCTGAGGGAAGTTCCCTCATGATCTCGAGATTTGAAGCTGAGGTTCTTGTGGATTTCTACAGTTATTAAATACGTGTCTGAGTGGTCTGTCTTTGTTCCTTTGTTTTGAGGGCTGCTGGGGTAGGGTGACTTGTGCACGGCAGCGGAGCTTCCCTGGGAGAGGGACAGTCCGTGCTTGTGAAGGTGAACACAAGAGCTCAGCTGCCTGTGCCAAGGTGTCAGGGAGACTCTGCAGATTCTGACACTCGGGAAGGAGTCTCTTGTGAGCCCGACCCAGGCTTGTGCTTCCAGCCTCTTCCCATGGTCCTCTTCCGAGCTCGGTGAGGTGGAAATCTCCAGCTTCCCCAGGGCTGGCCTCAGTCCGCACCGTCTAAAGAGAGATCTGGCTGCAGAGCGGTCATCTGAAGGTAGATGCGCCTGGATAGCTCTGGTCCAACCCGGCGGGAGGTGGCAGTCACGCCTTCCCCACGGCGTACCTGTATGTCTGCGAGCAAATTCTGACGTTCTTGCTCTGAGAGACACCGCCTATAAGCCTGAAAGTGGCAAATGACCTCTCAATACTGTACCACCCAGAGTCACCCCTGACCATCAGTAAGGGGGCAGTGAGCTTGGGGGTGGGGTGGGATGACAGCCTGTCCTCTGTCCTTGAGTCACTGTTCCGATTTCTGCAGGCCTGCACTGCTGACTACCGGTGCCCTCCACGGAAACTGCCTGGGGAGTCCACTAAAGCCACAGGGCGCTGGGGGTGACCACTGGAGCAGCCTACCTGGACCAGGAGCTGGGGGGAGGGAAAGGCATCCACGATGGCACTGGCCATTTCCAAGCTGACTCGGTTCAGCTGCTGAATCTGTCTCCTCCACACCAGCATGAGTCCCCTGCCTGTGCGGTCCACCTTTGCCCCTCCAGACCAGTCACTCTCCAGGCAGAAGGAGAAACTAGTTTGGTCTCGAAGCTTCCTGTGAACAGCAGTTGAAGAGCTGAGTCACTCGTCACTCCACCTGTTCCCTTCGCTGGGAACTTAGACACCCTCCTTCCACCGATCCTCATAAGCGCCTCTTTGGGCACTCAACTTTGTTCCCAAGCCATGCTAGTTGCTGGTTCCCTTAAAAATGACATCTCATCCTTCTCATTGAGAGAGAAGGTGCCAGAAAGGTACCAGCTTGTTTCCCATGTTGACATTGGGTTAATGGACAAGAGGCAGTGTGCACAGGGATAGCCACTAGGGACTGGGTGTCAGGCCACCTGGGAGTCTGGCTCCACTTTTAATTTGCTAAGAGCTCAGACAAGGCAGTCTTCAGACATCTGGTCCCTTGGGTAGAAAATGAGAGACTTGGACTAGACTGAGATCCCCTACCAATTCCCCTACTAATTCTGACCATGAACACTCCCAGAGCTCAGTAGGTTGAAAGTTTGTTTTATGAGAACTTACAACATCGTGACCTGACTGGAGACGGATCCCGGTAACCCAGTTCACAGGTGACCCAGCACCAGCCTGCGGGACATGAACTTACAGAGCAGCTGGTGCAGCGTGTTTTAAAGGGACTGGGCTTGAAGGTTCCTCACCAGCATCCCCAGCACAAGGCTGGCTCTGCCCAGCGCCAGCCTCACAGACAACGGCTGGTGGCAGAGCTCAGGGGAAGAGGACACAGTGGGGCCCAGCAGGGGGCCCGAGCCTTTCGTGACACTCACTTGAAGGGTGCCTCAGCCACAGCCTTGGTAAACGCGCATGCGAAGTCGGCCAGCTCTTTCCAGGTCTGCACCAGTCGGGCCTGGGCTCGTGTGTGCAGCTGCAGATCCACCAGCGCCTACCCCCGCAAGAGCAGGACAGGTTGGAGGGGCGGAGGGAAGCTTGTCTGAGGCTCCTCCCTCACGCCTGCCGAACCTGCACCCCAGCCCCTTGGCTCCCTGTTCTACCCCTTCTCTCCTACTCAGTGCCAAGGCAGAAAGGCGTGTCCAGTGGGCACTTTGCTCCTGATCTAGAGCAAATCGGGTTCAATGAGAGTAGGAGTCCCGAAGTTCTTACCTCTTCCACGTCTACTCTGGACACCACACGCCCTGCGCTGGCCTCTGGTCGTCTCCGCTGCTTCTCCTTCGCCTGTTCCCTATCTGCCACTCCCTGCTTCCTTCTTCTCGAGGGGTTTGGAGCACTAGAGCAGGGGAGGAAATTAAGAGAGCAGCAGTTCCAGGCTGAGCTCGGCAGAAGGGCTTGTTGGGGAGGACCCAGATCTGGGATGAGTAACGTCCCCCTAGTGGAGCTGCCCCTTTACATGTTAAGTCTCGGGGACCGCTTCAAACCTGAAGCATTTCTCCTGATCCACAATAACCAGGGACAGAGCTTTCCCAGCTGCCCTCGCCGTGGTGTTGGTCGCAAAGCTCCGCAGTGTTTCCTTCCCCTTCTCAGGGCCGCCCACACGTCCCTGCATGAAGGGCAGATGCTGCGTTAACATCCGGTCCCTAGAGGTGGTTGTCTGTCCCATGCCTGCGGGCCCACCCTGCTCTGCCCACCTGCTCGAAGTTCCGGACCATGGACACAAACGCTTCTGCCGGGAGCGGCACCAGGACCATCGGTTCCTCCACCCAGCCTTGCTGTCCGTCCTGCCAAAGGACCCGGAACCCAGCACAGGGAGGCGGGTCAGCAGGTGCTCAGCACCTGTGAGAGAGACCCAGGCCTTCGGGGAGAATGAACGCACCCGCATCAGCCAAGCCCGTTTTCGTGTTATTCTTTTTCTTCTGGAATGAAGCCTGGTGGCCAAAAATAACCCGTGATCCCATCCCTCCCCAGTCCTCAACTGTCCAACCTGGGTGTGCCACGTCTCAGAGGCAGTGAAGAAAGGAAGTTGAGATGGGCTGAGAACTGCCAATGTTCCTGTGCACGCCGGATAGAGGAACGGGGGGGGAAGGAAACTTCCAGAGGCTTTTGTGCAAAGAGTACTTGGCCTTTGAGGGCAGAGGCTGACTAGGAGCGGAGTGGCCCTTAGAGATACACAGGTTGCGTGTGACAAAGACAAGAGCCACAAGGGGAGCTGCCGCCTGGGAGGGCCCGTCCTCTTCACCACCGCCACAGGGCAGCCTCCTGCGACACATGCCCGCAGCGGTATGAGCGGCTGGGAGCAGGGCTCCTGGGGAGGGTCTTCTCACTAGGTCCCTATAAGCAAACGCTGAGACCCATAATACAACCAAGTGCAGCGGGAGGAGCGGGGCCTCTAGTTCCCGCTCAGCCACTGATCGGCTGGGACCCTTCACACAGCTTTCAACTTCTCCCACCCGCCTCCCCGCCCGTGATGCAGGGTGAGAAGTCCCTCCACGTGGGAGAACCGCCACGGACACGGGAGGGAGAAAGCGGGAGCGCCTTGAAAGGTAACTGCAATACGAATACAAAGATTTGCTAATACCCCAAATTAAAAAGCATCCAGTTGCCCTAAGTTACTAAAAAAATTATGAGATCCAAATAAGGGGGAAAAATTTTGTTTTAAGCAGTCTCTATGCCCAACAGGGGGCCTGAATTCATGACCACGAGATCACGAGTCTCACGCTCTACTGACTGAGCCAGCCAGGTATCCCGAGCGAGGAAAAAAATCTGAATGTTTCATCTAGAGAACCTTATAAATGAGGGGTGGAGTATTTTGGATTCGCAGATAAGAGGAATGGAAGCCAAAGGAGCTGCAGAAACCTCAGGGCCAAGGAAAGAACATTTGCTGTGTGCCTACTATGAGCTCCGGAATTGGCTACCTCAGTTCCCTGACATGGCGCACCCAGAGGGATGCAACAGTGTCCTCGTACATGTGAGGCACAAAGAGATGAAATAATCTGCCCAGGGTCATAGCCATAAAGCTGTGGGGCCTGAGATTCAAGGACAAGCCCACCATGCCCGTTTAGAACCAGGAATCCTACATAGAGTATCTTCCTTCTGCCCCGCAGATCCACTCTCCCTCTTCCCACTCTGCTCTCTGCAGGAGACCACATCACCAGGTCCTCCGGTGCAAATGGCCAAGTGGGAATGGTGGGTGGGAAACCCAACAGGAGACTGGAGGGAGGGAGGGAAAGAGGGAGGGGGGAGTGAGGTCGTTTCCCTAGCTCCCTCAAAATGGGTCACTTAGGGTTTGCTATGTTCCTCTATAGAAGGTCAAGCTTCTCTCAATGGGGTCCTCTCTACATTTCCTTCTCCTTCTGGATTCTGGTAACCATTTCCTCCCCTCATCCCGCCAGGCCTAAGCATGGTAACAAACATGCTAGTGGTCCTCCACCAGGGCCGATTTTTCCCCACAAGGGCGTTTGGCAACTTCTAGACATTCCGGAGTGTCAGGACTAGGAGGGTGCCACCGGCATCGAGTGGGCTGAGGCCAGGGAGGCTGCTCGACATTCTCCACCACACAGAACAGCCCTCACAACAGAGAATTATCCGATCTGAAATGCCGACTGTATCTGAGGTGGAGAAACCCTGATCTGGTGTTGTTATTACTGTGAGAAGCCATGTCGTCCCTTGTAGTTGCCCTATAACCTGCCCACGCTTTAGGACACTGTTCCTTTCTAACATCTTCCTCAAATTATACTAAGTTGAGTGTGCCAGTTGTTTTCCTGCTGGGACCCTAACATTCTTTAGAACGAAAGGGCATTTATCAGGGAGCTCAAAGGGGGAGGAGAGACATCAGCCCGAAACCTACTACCTCGGCTGGCGCAGCCCTTCTCCTCCAGGTGATGCTGCAGGGCACGGCCTGGGCCTCGATCACACACCGGCACTCCATGGACTGCAGTGCCCCGAGGAGCTGGCCTCCCCCTTCCATCTGCAAAAGCACTGCAACAAATGACGGGAGAGGGGCGGTCAGGGGTTGGCCCAGAAAGTGGGGACCCCAGCACGGGATGAAGATGGATGCTAAGAGGACCTGGATCCAGCATCACGACCACATGCTTTAGGCATTCCTCGGGCCTCTGAGCTTTCAGCCTGTTAGCCACGGCTGCCTTCTTGGTCTTCTCCTGTTGTCCCAGGGCGCGTTCCTTCGGGCTTGCTCGTCTCCGCGGCTGGCGTCCCTGCGAGCTGCTCCTCTGGACCTCCTGGCTAGGCTTGGTTCTCTTCTGAAGTGGGGGGACCTCAGCATTTGTCCAGCTGCTGTTCTGGATAGGGCAGGTAGCTTTGAAGCCTGGAAGCTGGTGGCATGGACTGTCTCCCGCAGGGTCCTTGTTATTTGATGCATATCTCTCTGAGGTGTCACGGAGGGGAATATCAGGGACCTTTGGAAAGGGTTCTTTTTTCCAGTCACAGGATGCTCCTTCACTATTTTGATGATCCCATACACTTTTAACTGGGGAGCTAGAGTCCTCAGGGCTCAGTGGCTTGTGGGTCAAAAACTTACATGCAAGCCTCTCGGCCAGGGGAATTAATTCTACCTCATCCTCACTTCCACTGCTTAGCACCCTCACTGGCTCTGTTTGTGTGATGGATTCAGCTGTGTCCGGCGTAGGTGATACATCTTTCAACCTTGGTGACGGAGGACAGGAGGCCTCAGAATCCGAGGTGTGAACCACAACAATCTTCTCCTCCCTCTGAGACTGCCTCCTCTTTGATGAAGACGGTTCCTTCTTCAGGAAGGCAAATGTTGGCAACTCTTCAGAGTCGCTCTCACTGGAATCCAGTGAGAGCGATGACTTCTTTAGAGCCATCAATGCGTGCTGTCAAATTAATTCCCTAAAAGGAAAAGAGAGGAGATACAGACCGTGGCACTGAACTCAGTCCGTTAGACCTATTCTGTGGCCAAACTTTATGGAAATACATACAATATAGAAACAGAAAAACAGGCTTTGGTCCCAACACATGCACTCTAGAACTCAGTTGTCTGAAGTCTAACAGGACTCCTCAAATCCCTTCCAGGTCAAGGTGACCTAGAAACAAAGTGGAGATTACTACTGGAAAATGTTAATGCAGCAGTAACAAGACTCAACACCACCCCCTTATTGATCTCTGCATTTGAAATGCACATGTTAAATCCTCCTTTCTTTAAAAATTGAGATGTAACTCACATGCCATAAACTTCTTTCAAGTGTACAGTTCAGTAGTTTTTAGTTTATTCACAAACCTGTGCATCACTGTCTAATTCCGGGATATTCTCAGCACCCCAAAAAGAAATCCCATAGCCATTAAGCAGTCGTTGTTCACTTCTCCCTCCTCCAGTTCCTGATAACCACAGATCTACTTCTGTTTTTTGTGGATTTACCTGTTCTGGATATTTAGTACAAACAGAATCATACAGCGTGTGGTCCTTTGTGACTGTCTCCTTTCACTTAGCATGTTTCTCAGCGCTCGTTTATGTTGTGGCGTGTGTCAGTACTCCATGGTTTTTTACAGCTGAATAACTTTCCACCGCAAATAGGCTGCCATTTGTTTCTCCGTTCAGCACTGCCATGAACATTCATGTCCAGGTTTTTGCGGGGATAGGTTTTCAATTCTCTCGCATGTATACCTGGAAGTCCAACTGCTGGGTCGTGTACAAGAATTGCTCTTTGAAAAAACGCTCACAAACACTAGGTGTGACCCCGGATGGGCCATGTAACCTCCCTGAACCTCGCTTTCCAATTTAGTAAAACAGGGATGATAACAACACCTATTTCATAAGATTGTTTGAAATAACTGAAATCGTGCACCTACAGCGCTTAGCACAGCACGGTGCCCACAGTAAGCACTCGGTAAGGGACGCTGCCAGTCTGGAGGGACCTCCTTGCACCTCGCCGGGAGTCCGGCAAAACGAGGTTGCCTGCCGGACGAGCCCGGCGCGTCCACACCGCGCGGCGGAGCCCCGGACGCCCTGATCACCGACGCCCTGCGGGGCGGTGCTCAGAAGTCCGGCCCAACCCGCCGCCCGCCGCCCGCCGCCCGCCGCCCGCCGCCCGCCGCGCCAACTCTCACCTGCGACTCTTCGCGCCACTCTTTCAACTGCAGCGCAAGCCCCGGAAGCAGATCGCCCGGTACCGGAAGCAGATTTCTGAGGCCGGAAGCGAGTGTCCGGCAAACATGGCGTCGGCGGCGCTGGCGCTAAGGACGCGGGCGGCTGGTAACGGAACGCCGTGGTTGTTGCGGGGCGAGGGGTGCAGGCGGAACGGAGACCCTGCAGGGAGGCCGTTCCTTGTGGAGGCCCCTGGGCGCGGAGCCGGGAAAGCGCCGGTGGGGGGTTGCCCACGAGCTTTGAGGGACAGCTGTCGCTGGCCACGTGACACATCTCGGGGGCCCGGCCCTGGGTGGTTGCGCGAGGAGCATGTGTCCTTTCTTTGCCCCGTGCGCAAGTGCTGCTTCCCTAGCGTTTGGTGACGTGGGCACGCCGCTTCCACTCCGTGGATTACCTTCATCCATAAATACTGGCACACTAGAGCTCAGAAAGTTAACCCTCTGGTTCAACAGATTGAAGTCTCTTTGCCAGAACAGTGAGGTTAGGTGTTGGGGATCTCAGCAGAGATGAAGAGAGTCTTTGTTTTCCGGACCAGTTCTATCTAGTGGATAAGCCAGTAACCACGCACATAAACTGGATGTAAATCGTGACGAGTGCTTTTAAAGAAAGCAAAAGCGTGTGTGTGTTGTGTCTTTTGGGGTGTTGGTGGTCAGGGGAGCCTTTTGACGAGGTAACATCTAAGACAAGACCTAAAGGATGACAGGAGGCCTAATCCTGTAACAGAATGAGGGGCAAGAGAGTGACATAAGCCAGTTTTACATGTTGAGAAGCAAACTATTGCTCTTATGTGAATTTAAAAGGGGGTAGGGGTGGAAATGAGGGAAACGAATGGGAAGCTGTAGTAGCCCTCATGAGACACGATTTAGCCAAGATGCTAGTGTCAGTGAACTTGGGGGAAATGGGTGGTTTTAGGATCTGTTTTGGAGATAGAACCCAGAGTTGGCTCCTGAGCTGGATATGTGAGATGAGCAAAGGGAAGCAATCTGCAATCATTCTTTGATTTCTGCCTGAGCATCTGCACAGGTGGTAGCATCATTTCCTCTGAGATGGAGGGTGGGGAGTAGGCTGAAGAGCAAAGATTTGTGAAAGAGATAATGTAGATAAAAGCTCCATTCCTCAGCTTAATAAATTAGAGGATGAACGAAAGAATAGATTTAAAGGTAGGTAGATCCTGGTGCTGGGCATTTAGCATGTCTTTCTAAGTATTTATTTCTGGTCCTTTGTGCCAGCTACTCTCTGTCATTAAAACTGCAGGAACCTGGTTTCAGGAACTCTGAATTTGTAGGCTCCAGAGACTCACAAGGCTTCTCCAAAGATTTTGGTATAGTCCTGATTAACCATGGCTGAGTCTGGAGAGCTGAGAGCAAGGACTGCCAGCCCTATGCTTGTCATATAGCAAGGGGCTTCCATCTTGGTTAGTATGAATTTTAGTTCACTTTTTTTTTTTTTTTAAGATTTTTTTATTATTTATTTATTTGACAGAGAGGTCACAAGCAGGCAGAGAGGCAGGCAGAGAAAGAGGGGGAAGCAAGCTCCCCGCCGAGCAGAGAGCCTGATGCGGGGCTCCATCCCAGAACCCTGAGATCATGACCCGAGCTGAAGACAGAGGCTTAACCCACTGAGCCACCCACGCGCCCCTAATTCACTTTCCTTTTAAAAAGAAATGCCATTGAGCATTTTGGAATGAGTATGGAGAGGCCAGTTGTCAAGGACAGGGTGTCAGTCTTCTTGGTCAGGACCCGCACTGGGTGGGCTTGCTGATGAAAGAGTCCAGCCTTCTGAACTAGCTAAGAGCCTGTGGGAGCCACCCTCAGAGAAGCTGCCCTTTTTGTTTACAAGTATTTGGTGTGCAGGGGATGGGTGGATGGTTGCGAAAGTGGTGGGTGATGCCAAAGCAGGACCCTCTCTCTCTGGGTGTCCTGTTGCTGGGCTCTGTGGTCCAGCCCCTCCACAGTGTCTGGACCCTTGAGGACATGTGGTGAGTGAGGCTGAAGCGGGCAGCCCTGTGGCGTCTTCTTGCTGGCTTGTATTTCTGTGGTGTTTGTTTCTCCTCAACAGGACTGAATGTGTCAGGACCCAGGGCACATGGTGTTTATTTTTTTTTCCATGAATATTTCACTACCCACTGCCTCCCCCGGCCACACACACACTTCTCATGCAGCGCATACACCCTGGACAATACAAGGAATGATTTGTCTCCTGCTGTGGGACAAGGCCAAGGATTTCCAGACACTCCCTGAAAACCAACACAGTCGAGTGGCATTTCTGCTTACATATCTTCCTCACCTCCCCTGCTGCTACCTCCTGCCACCTCTCAGCTTAGCAGATGGCCCATCGAGGCAGAGAATGAGTGATTGGGAGCCTCTCTGAACAGCATTTCTGTTCTGTCTGCAGTTACAGCCCTGCTGAGCCCTGCTCCGGCCGCATCTCTTGCCGTCAGATACGCATCCAAGAAGACAGGTGGCAGCTCCAAAAACCTGGGTGGAAAGTCACCAGGCAAACGCTTTGGCCTCAAGAAAATGGAGGGTGAGGGTGTGCCTTGGTTTCCATTTCCCAGCTGCACTGTCCCTTGTCCCTGGCATTCCTTTGCAGAACAGGGAAACCGTGTACCCTCCCAGTCTTATACTCCGAGTAGCTCGCCAGAGCCCTTGGCTCCAGATTACAGATGCAGAGAAGACCTGAGGCGGGGAGAGGGTCCTGCAGAAGATCAGATAGGTGTGAACCTGGGCCGTGTAACGAGAGAAGAGAGGAAAATGGCAGGGTCGTGGGGAGAGGGGGAGACTGGCAGAGGGAGATAAGGGGCTGCTTGTGTCCGAGAATGTAGCAATTGGCTTTGTCCAGGGCCATGCTTAGAGGTTGGTATGTAGCATCTGGGCCAGAAAAGCAAGGGCCAGTATGTTTTCTTAGCAGTTTGCTGTGCTGCCCATCACCGGGGCCCACAGTCAGTGTGCTGCGGACTTCTCTTCTAGGTCACTACGTTCATACCGGCAACATCATTGCGACTCAGCGCCACTACCGTTGGCACCCAGGCGCCCATGTGAGTTGCTCTGTGGCCCTTTCCCCTTTCTTCTTTCCCAGGACCACATCTCTCTGTAGCGTGGTAGTGATAACTATACAGTTGTATTTATTGGGTACTTAGCAAATGCCAGGCATCGTTTTGCTTTCTGGGCCTGTATTGTCTCATTTCATCCTTACCCCATCCTAGTGATTCACTAGGTATCACTAGGTATCCATTTTCGAGGTAAGATGCGAGCAACTTAGGGAGTAGGGAGCCCATAGGACAGAACCGGGGTTGGTGCTGGGGCTGCCTGACTCCCAGTCACTGTGCTTTGCCTTGTGGGGCATCAGCGTGGTTCTCTTGGGTCTCCTTTCTGACCCCAGCTGTTAGAGGAGGAGATGCCTAGTGATTTGAGATACTTGTTGAATCTTGGGAAACCAATTTCTGTGTATTCCTTATGAGATGGCTGAAAGATAGCTTGAATTTAATAAAACAATTCAGCGTATGTACCAGAAATTAGGTCCATATCAGGCAGGGATTTTAGTTTTCGGCAAGTTGGGATTACTTTCTGAGGTAGGAAGCTTCTTTGTTAACACAGATCTGTACTGTACTTTCTTTCTTTCTTTTTTTTTTTTTTAAGATTTATTTATTAGAGTGTACCAGTGCGTGTGCAAGCAGGCGGGGTTGGGGGCAGAGGGAGAGGAAAAGCAGCAGACTCCCCACTGAGCTCCCACCTTAGCTTGGAGCCAGTCTTGGAGGCCCGATCTCACAACCCTGAGACCATGACTTGAGCCAAAAATAAGAGTGGGATGCTTAACTGACTGAGCCACCCAGGAGCCCCTGTTCTATACTCTTCCCATTATCTGAAATGTTAGTTTAGTTTCCTTTGTAATGGATTAATTCCCCCCCACTGCCCCTTTTTTGGCAGTTTTGGTAGGCATAGAAAGACTGAAAGTGGCCAATAATTATGTCAGAAATGCTCATTTACACATGAATTGATTGTATTTATGTAGCTTTGTCTTTTAGAACTGGAGACACTGTGTTAACTCTTGGGACTGGATAAAATAATGACAGCAGTAATAAAAGCTAACGTGTTTTGAGCTAAGCAGCATTCTAAGCGCTTTATGATTAACTCACTTAATCCTCAAGGGGACCCCATAAAAGTACTCAATACCCATTTTGCAGATGAGAAAATCGAGACACAATGAAGTAATGTAGCTTGCCCAGGCCACACAGTAGTTAGTAGGTAGTGGTGCTGGGATTTGAACCCCGCATCCTGGCTCCAGAGCCAGGCACTGCGTTTTGGCAGCCATCACTGTGATCGCTGTTTTGTTTACTATGACAACTACAGTGTTTTTTAATTTTTAAATGAGGCGAGCTCCCGGTTGGGGGGCGGGCAGCGATCAGGGGCATTTTCCTGGGCCTGGTTTGGGGATCTGTCTGGTGTGGCATCTGGCCAGATGCACAAACGTGGGTCCAGAGACCAGCCTTCAGGGACCAAGAACCCAAGAGGATTGGCTTTTGGGAGTTTTCTTTTCCCTCTTCTGTCACAGAGTCACCAATGAAGTAGATGTCCAGGAAGCACCAGGCAGCAGGAAAGGGAACCTGAGATAGAGCTCTCTGGTCTGCCTGTTGGTCCCAGAGCCTGAAGCCTTATGAGAAGTTTGTCCCAAAGTCCTGGGATGGACCACCCGGCCGTCGGCCCAGCTGACCTGGTCTTTGTGTTGCAGGTGGGGCTGGGGAAGAAGAAGTACCTGTAT